CTCTCACGAGACCCAGCAGTCTCACGGGGACCTTCCTCGCGTCCTCGACCGCGCAAAACTCCTCCATTAATTTCAGCACGATGCTCAGGTGACGCTTGGCGCAGATGCCGACTGCTCGCGCGTATTCCTTGGCGGTGCCGTGGGAACGCGCGAGTTCGACTAGAAGAGTGATGTGAGCGTTGTTACTGCACACGCATGCCAAAAGCGACGCTACACCCGGCGTGCTCGCCTTCAAGGCAAGCTCGTCCGCGAGCTTGGCGCCCCACAGTTCCCCTTCCATTTTCATGCTCTCCTCCAGCCATTCCACCGTCTTTTGCTCCCAGATCAGATTTCTGTGAATTAAAAGGAGAATCGAGAGAATAAGTATCGTAATATTTGATCGGAGTCAATTGACAAAAAGATTGTCACCGTCGCGCGGAATGTTTAATTTCCTTCGGAGCTTCTTGGGAGCTTCTCTGCTCGTCTTGCGAAAACTCCTGCGAAAGCTCCGATAGCTTTTCGTCCCACCAAGGTTTCAGCTGATGTCCTATCAAAGGCGCTGCTGATTTTAGAAAGGCCACTATTGGGAGTCGATTAACCGGATCGCTCAACAATTCCAGACATCTGCCCAAGACTTTGGTGCCAGGGAAATTTCTCTCGTTCGTCGAGGAATTTTCGTTGCGTATTATTTTCGTCGCCAACGGAGTTAGCGAACGTAGCACAGATGGAACCTAAAGAGAAAAATAATAACTGAATTCAAGTTTATTTGAGATATATTTCACAAATGAATAGAATTGTTGCTTACAGACGCTACACAAGATGAATCCAGCAGTGCGCTTATCAAACACGGCCACAGCCAGGACTCGACGCCATCGACAGTTGTAGCGAGAAGATACAAAGCTTCGGAACACGCCTCCATGTCGTCATTCTTCGTTTCACAGTGTGACACCTATTTTAAGGCAAGATAAAATTGATCTTTCTGGTATTCTGAAATTTTGCTTTCCGCACGTCGAATCATACCATGTATTGAACGAATTTAGCTCTCTGTGACGGCAAAAGAGGAAACGTTGGTCGTGCTGCAAGTGCCGCTATGGCGCCGATCATTTGCAACGCGCCGCACTCTCCGAGAGATTCCTGCAGGCTCAGTGCGATTCTTTGCAATGTCCCGTCGTCCTGGTGAAACCATACATTAGAGAGCTGTCGCGCACTCGTAGTAAAATTATTTTCATACCTCTGGAAGAGTGTTTATGAGGTGCTTGAGGACCACCAGCGCACGAGCGCGTTGATTGGCGACTGGAGATTTCAACTGTTGTAAAATTCTGCAGAAAAGCGCAATGAATGATTACAATTCTCATGAAATATTGTAACTTAATTAAGATATCGATTACCTGTCGAGACCTTCTTCGGGGTATAAAATGACCAATGATCGAGAGCATTGCAACACTTCGTAATGCGTGAGAAGTACATCCCGAGTCGCTTCGAAGGGACAAACGCTGACGAATTCGGATAAAGTTTGATGTATGTGCTCCATAGATGGGCGGATTGCCTCTTTATCATTTTCATTCTGAACGCAATGTAAAAGCACCGCTAAAATCCTATTTTAATATATTTTAATTAAATACGAATGATTTCCATGCATGATAAATATACCACATAATACGAAACTCACCTCACAGCAGCTAAACGTACATTTCGCTTCTTGCTAAGATTTAAACATACGGGTATTAATTTTACAATTCTCTCGCTGTCTTGCTGCTCAGGCAGCAACGATATCATAGGCGCCAATGTCGTTAAAATAGCTTCGGTTGTTTTAGGATCGCGAGACGTTTTCAGCCAATTCTGCATCAGAAAATCAAAGGCAGTGCAAACTTCTTCTTGGAATGTATGTTTGTTAACGTCGGAAGTCACTTCTTCTGTATTCATTATGTAATCATTTATAGCCTCACAATATTTGGTGATCACTAAAAATGAAGAATTTTAATCTTTAATTCGTTAATCCTATCAAAAGTATAAATTATACTTACTAAAACAAATTGCCTGTTTAAGGGCCTCTTCGCGTATATGATTTAACATCGGTAGCATAATAGTCAGTGTTATTTTCACAAAGGGCAGCATTCCGTATGGATTGACTGCCGCAAGCTTTCCCAATGTCAAAACTATCGCAGGATGAGGTATTATTCCAGGGTCCAATCTACAAATCCAACTCATGATAAGAGAAATTAACGTTATGCAGCTTTTACAGCTTATCGAGTAAATTATAACTGCGTACTTGGTTAAAAGTCCACCAGTGGCTTGTGTACAATGTATTTTACAAAGTTTGATCAACAACTCGGCCGCTTCATTTTCAGTTTCTGCTGTTAATTCATTCACCGCCAGTTCAGCCAGAGACGATGCTACATCTGCATTTAAATTTTCACCTGCGTGTTCACAGGCATCGGATATTATGTTCAACACAGACGCCATATGATCGGTGGATATCTTTTTAAAACAGTAAAAATTAATAACAATGACGCAGTGTGAGACAGCAATGTCTAATCCAAATTATATTGAATATATATTAACCCTTTTATGCATTTGCCAAAAGTATATAGCAGCATGGATAACCGTGTCTGGATTCTTCTTGCTTATCCTCTGAAGCGATTCAATCACAGATTGCTTAACATCTTGATTTTTATCGTCTAAGGAGTCCAATAAAGCTCCAATTACAGCTAAAAATAAATACCGTGATTGCTCATTGTGACAAATATTTTTCCTTAAAATATCGCTCATAGACGAAATAATTCTCTCAACTTGTTAAAATAATTCTTTATATAACTTCTAATAATATTATAGTAATGTTGATGTGTTTATAATATTTTTATTTAATTTACCTGATAACTCAGAGCTATTATTGTCTTCTTCCTCCTTCATATTGATAATTACAAGTGTGATAATTACAAGTGTGAAGAATGTATTATTCCTGTGACTCCTTATGTTTTTATTGATATTATATTTGAAAAACAATTTGTCATACGTCTTCCGGCATAACTACATTGTTTACAATACATTTTATGCAATCTGTTCTCGAGGAAATGGTAATCGGTCGCCGAAAAAATTGTGAAATCCGATGTGCTATATATTATTAAGCGATAAGACTGGATAAGACGAGTGTTGTCTATGAATCACTATAAGCACAAGATCAGCTGTTCATATCAAAGTATCTCAAGAATTTATCAAAGGCTGTAGGCGCCATCTTTCAGTCGCAAGCTAAATATCTAATAGCGGTTGTTTCAATTTGATGACAGGAATAATTGCAACAGTAAATCAATAACAAAAAACATCATGCGATGCTTTTATTATAAATCTTTAACAATGCCTTGTTTAAATATAAAATATACATTTTTGTATGCTATGAATACAGTTTAAATTGTATATATTGTTGCGATGGATATAACGGAATCTGTGAGACACAGAAACAGTTGCAGTATTCAGATTATTCTCTTCTGCTTTCATAATCATTCCTTTCTGTAGTTTCGATTTAAACAGTAGCGGGCATAAGCATCATTCCATCACATTCCAGGGCAATCTTGATACCAACAACAAAAAATGTAATGTTTTTTACTATGGACCTGTTAACAGAAACAAGTATTAGTATAAAAATTATTTGCATAAAAAATTTCACAATTCCATCAATTAATATATATATTATAAATATATTGTAATTATCTTTCATAAAAAATAATTAATAAAACAATTGATTTGCAGTCATAATTTAAATTTTGTTATACAACTTCAGCTAAGAGAAAGAATTTGTGATAACGTTAACAATTTAATTGTTGAAGCATTAACAATTAATTAAATTGGCTTTTTTCAGAATTTATGCTATATCAGTGAACAATATTCCGGCATGAATCAAAAGGTTATGTTCATCAGCCTTTTATATCGGCAACATATCTCTAGATTTTTCGACAAAAACGTTCTCCGCGACCTACCATTTAAATTGATCCTGGTAGATGTCTTTGAAAATCTTTCCGATTTTTCCCGTTGCCATCGTCTGTCTTTTATTGTGATATTTTCAATTGCACGACTTGTTTAGAATCACTGAACACTCTCGTGCTTCTCGCCTGGGATGTATATCTGTTTTATTCTAACACAGCAATGCGATCGTCTATCTCTGTCAAGTATATTTGACGCACATGTGATGGCGCACTAATCAATAAATAGCGCATTTTAAAAATATAATTCTATTATAATTACAAAACAATGTATCCGCTCTCGGCAAATATGAAATAATTTAAAAAATTGACATAAATGGGAATGAGTTGATTTCGAGAAAACTTTCAAGCTGGTGTGTATTCGATTGCCTGTAAACTGCCTTTACCGAATGGTTTGTGACAAGTGGAACAAAAGCATATTTCACAAATTAGTCATCGACGACATATAATGTTGAATGATAGTTGATTGATTATGTTTTGTGATAACTAAAGCTTTCACGATTGATACATTTGTGTAGATATTGTGTGAAATACAGGGTGCAAGGATGGGTGCAGGAAAGAGTCAGTTTACTGAAGAGGAGCTGCAAGATTATCAAGTAAGATTAATTTTTTTTTATCATCTTGCGTATATTTTTAAATTGTTTTTAATTTTAATGTGGCATTTTTAAGAACGTAATTAATAAGACTTTTCTATTAATAGGATTTAACATACTTTACAAAAAAGGAAGTCTTGTAGTAAGTACTGTCTCATTTATTTATTGAATACATATCTCTTATTGTTAATTATACGTCCAATTAAAAACAACTATCATGCGAGAAACTACATTTTTTCTTTTTGTAACAGCGCACATCAGAAATTCAAGGCACTCGCACCAGAAAAAGTTGGGCACAACAGAAATGCTAAGCTCCCGATGTCCAAAATTTTACAATATCCCGAATTGAGAGTGAATCCTTTTGGAGATAGAATCTGTAAGGTTTTTAGCTCTAGTCAGGATGGCGATTGCACCTTTGAAGATTTTTTGGACATGATGTCTGTGTTCAGTGACGCTGCCCCAAAGGCTGTGAAAGCTGAACATGCGTTTAGAATATTTGGTAAGTGTGTGATTTCCAACAAATTATCTGCATGTTGCAATCTTCAATTTACCGACAATATCCTGTTTATGAAGATTTTGATGGGGATGACATGCTTGGCGTGGGAGATCTAAGACAAGTAGTTGATAGATTAACTGCACCCCAGAGATTGAATGACAGCGACATACAGCAGCTTCTTCAGTACATTCTTGATGAAGCTGATCTAGATGATGACGGTGCTCTAAGCTTCGCAGAATTCGAACATATTATAGAGAAGAGCAGTGACTTTTCCAAGTAAGATTCTTCTTTATTATAAAATCGTAATCAACCTTCGATAACATTAAAATTTCTTCTTACAGGAGTTTTCGTATTCGTTTATAAAAGTATGACGGGGATTATTGATGGGCAGTTAACGAAAGACTGAATATTGATTTATATTTAATCATTTTAATAGATATGGATCTAATTCATATCTTACAGGGTGAAAGAACATTAACAATTGCAGAATGTGCCAAGGCTCTAAAGTGAGGCCTAAACCAAAATGACACCAATAACAATCTAATTTATTTGTTACCGAGCTCATTTATTTAAAATTCTTTAATAGAAGAAGCAAACGTAACTGCGAATATAGATCTCTTTATTCACATATATAAAATTTTGTCACACACACCATATAATGGTATTAATGCACACATAATGTTCTGATGTATAGGAAAAGGCAAGTCTATTCTTGACCAGGTACATTTTTGTTTTTTTTTTAAATTATTAAATATTTTAAAAATTTTACGGAATTTGTCTTTATTTTGTATAATAAAATTAAATAAATGTGCAATGAAGTTATGGTGTCAAGTATATTGCTTCAAAACAGAAAATTCGTTTTTTGCATATGCACACACACATATATACTCTTTTGAAGATATTTATAATATATATATATATAAAATTTTTTAAAAGATATTTATAAATTTATAGAATTTTAATTCTAATTTATGTTATTTATAATATATGTAAAAGTAAGTTGTAATGCCTTTTATTGTATCTTGAACAATTGTAATATCTATATTATAAATAATGGTATAATGCTAAAATTGTCTTGTTTAACTTATTACACTTTATTACAAAAGTCCCCCAAGTCATTATTACAATATCCCATGTATTGTAACAATATTGCATACAATGTGATATAAAAATGAAATTCGTAATATTGGAATTCAAAACTTATGTTTAAGATTGCAGATACCCGCTGAAATTAAGAAAATAAATAATTATTTAAATAATATAATAATATATCATCTAAAAGTATGATACTCACGGAAGTTTCATTTTCATGAATATCCAGCATGCAATAAATGACACAACTATGCTGAGAAATCCAACACATATCAGAAGAATTCTGTTAAGTTTCGGCGTTGATGGACCATGAGTTTGATCCAGTATAATAAAGCCTAAGCCTCCTATTGTGAATAGAAAACTGGAGGCTAAGCCTTCCATGATATATTGCCCATTAACACGATATGGCATAAATGCTACCTGCAAGGATCACGCTTGTTTATAAAATTGAGGAAGTAAATGATTGAAAATAAAGGTTTTCTCAACTTACAGGTCTTGTATGGCCATGTTCATCTGTTGTAGATCCTACACTAGGTGGCTCAACGATTACATCGTATATGATTCCTGCAAACCATATGTAAAAGTCAACAACGGTTTTTTACTTAAAATTATACAATACATTATACGATAAAGAACGTTTAGAATTTCCAAATATAAAAATTTTAGTTATAAAGTTTGTAATAAAAAATAAATTGTATGATATTCTTCAAATAATATGCAATTTTTTACATATACATATATATATGTATGCTTAGTGTGATGCGATAAAATATTTTAATTAATATTTTTATTATAACAAGCAAATATGACTTTCGATTAACGTCAAGATGTTCGAATGCTAACCTCCTGTCACCAAGAAGTACGACAGAAGGATGAGGGAAAAGACTATCATAGCACTAGGTTTCACAAACCAGGACGGTTTCTTTAACTTTAAATTAGGCACTTCCAGGACTAAAAACGGTAATCGATAAATGTACTCCATTTTCTTGAGATAAATCTAAACTACACGATGGAAAAATAAAGGATTTCCTCTTCATCCACCGGTACTGTTGACGTTCCTCATCAACTGGCCATATGTACACGTGTAACGACGGACTTTTTGCTCAGGACTGTACGTGCCGGTGATCGCGCTTCCATTGGTCAGCGTCGCGCTTCCAACATTCATTAATCCATTACACGAAACTCATAGCTTCTATAAAAAAAAATGTAAGTAATTAATAAGGAACGCAAATTTTTGTTACGCAATTTCGGTTCTAGTTCCACTCTCAATTTTTTAATTTAAAACTGTGCGCGCGATTTTACCGATTGGCCGAAGTTTCTAATTTGCCTCCAAAATGTTAGCTTGAAAAGATGGCTTTAATGTTTTTGCAAGGGATTGAACCTTTTTGTGTGTTATATGTCTGTTCATTGTGTATTTTTTGAGTCCATTTTATTCCGCCTACGACAGTTTATCGTTGTGAGATGCTTTCGTGACGCTAAATAGACTCGAGTGATTACGGTGCGCGAAAAGGTGTGACCGATATTAAATACAACATCTGCGTTGCATTACTAATGAGGCTGTTTAATTAATTCCGCAGATTAACCTTACGGCATAAAAACGACTCAATGTTTCACAGTTTGCCGTTTAATATATTATTTTTTAGTAATTCTTACGGTACGTAATCATATCATGATCACGATGTGCGGTATCATATTTAGGAGTCAATAATAGTAGTTGTGCAATTTTGCAAGAATTGAACAATTTCCATACATTATTGTAGGTCATGTGAGCACTTGATTTGCATTGTAAATATATATATAATGGGCATTTCCTAAGATTAGTAAGGCAATTTTGTCGTCTGAAACTTCTAAGCACCACGAAAAATGAGTGAGACGACTCCGATAAATGATGTGTCTGAAAGCAATGGTGCAATGGAGCAGCATACTTACAATGGGGATGTAGAGGAACATACTAGTAAATACAATTGATTTAATATCTTTTGATACAAAAAAATTTATGCTATTCTTCACTCCTTTTATATATTTAGTGATTAATATATACTTTTTCTTTTATTTCACTAGCTAAGTCTCCAATAAGTATAGAGGAAAAAGCACCCGATTCGGTATACGATAATGGTGTGAAGAAGAATACTGGTACCGGCAGTAGCAGTAACACGCCAAATAGAGCCAAGAAACGCAAGAAGGCTCCAAGAGATGCTACTGCGCCTAAACAACCACTCAGCGGTTATTTTCTGTAATGACCAAACAAAAATATCTGCGCGTACAAATGTTAAAATATTTTGTCTATAATAAAATGTAATGTGCAGGTTCTTAAACGACCGAAGGGAGAAGGTCCGAAGTGAGAATCCAAGTTTAACGTTTACAGAGATTACAAAACTTCTGGCTTCGGAGTGGAGTAAACTGCCAGCTGATCAAAAACAGGTTTCTACAATGTCTTTTAGCTTCGTACAGTATCTTGCAGTGTTTTAGCATTACAAATGCAATGGCACGAATGCTTGCAGCAATATTTGGACGCAGCTGAGTTAGATAAGGAGCGCTACAATCGTGAGTTTAGCGATTACAAACAAACGGAAGCGTACAGACTGTTCAACGAGAAACAATCGGAGAGACAAAATGAAAATAAAAAGGAAAGAAACGGCACTGACATAAATGCCGAGCAGAATGTATGATAATTTTATTGTTATTCTTAAGATCTTGACAATGAAAATGGCAGTAATGAAAATTTTATTTAGGACATCCAGCAAGACAAGGACAACGACTTCACAGGGTTTGACATTCCTATTTTTACAGAGGAATTTCTGGATCATAATAAAAGTGAGAAATTCATAGCAAAAATAAATACGTAATCGATAAAAATATATTACAAGAATATTAAATAATAAATAATAAATATTAAATAATAAAAATGTATTTTGTGTAGCCTGTGAGGCTGAATTGAGACAATTGCGGAAAGCTACATCGGATTACGAAGCTCAGAATGCAGTTCTCCAGCGACACGTCGACAGTCTGTATGCAGCGGTGAATCGTTTGGAGTCGGAAACTAATCAGCAACGAACGACCAATCAGACTCTACAGCGTCATTTGGATTCTCTTCGTTCGCAACTGGCGGGCTGCTTCGCCACCATACCGCTTCCAGGTGAGAGTTCACGGATAAAATTCGCATAAGAATTTCATCTTGATTTGATGTTTTATTTGTCTGCAAAAATATCTCGTTTTTTTTTACAGGCACACACGACGGTGCCACGTTACAAAATATCGACGGTTACTTCGAGAGGCTAGAGTCCTTGCTGAACAGCAACGCCGAGCAGAGTCTACGTAACGCCATACGTAATGCCGTGTCCCGTCTGGAGTTAATTGGATGACGATCGCCTCTGAGCAGTACAACCAGTACGTCGTTGAAGCACCATCGTTCAAGGCATTCACATCGAAAGTAGCGAAGAGAATTTAGGTGTGTTATTTTCTTGACAATTTGTAAATTCCATTTTTCTTATATTCTCGAAATAGGTGATTTTGCGATTTGAGTGAACTTACTTGTGCATGATTATATGATTTGCGGTACCCCTGTGTAGTACATGATATCGGTATATGACAATAATTTGCATTTTTATTTTGTACATCGGTTTTGATGCGAATTTCTCATTTCGAATATGATATATAATATGTATAGCGATAATTTAAAAAGCTTCTGCTGTATCTTAACTTCGTATAAACTTAAGTCGATTTTCTGTACATTGAAATAGTTACATATCCGTCGAGTTCAAATATCGATTGAAACCCAATGTTTGATCTCGGTCTGGAAGTTCAATGACTTTGAACGTCATTATTGAGTATATATTTAGCATTTATTAATAAATTTTTGTAATCTCGTCACACATCATTGTTCATATTCAACATTTGTTTTTTTAGCTGGTTAAACATGAACCTGCAATTATAAATTTTAATTTAGATCATATTAAGAGAATAAGAATTATTATTTCGAGAAACTTATGATTGTTCATTTACCTTAATGACACCACATTGGGTCGACGATTTTGTTCAGCTTGAAATATAATTGTGTCAAGTTGCGGAATCAAATTGATTATAATACTTTTCTCTATTGTCAGGATAGATTGTATAAGCTCAAACGTAAATTGTGTGTTTAAGATCAGATATTTTTGCACCATAGCAGAAACGGCAGTATAAAATTTTTCTCTGAAAATACACGCAAATTGGTTATGACTTGAAATTTAATTTAAATAATGTTTCAAGATCTTCTTACCTGATCGATTTATCCCCTTTGTAATAAGCATTTTTAATTACATTTTTGATGAAGTCAATTGTGTGCAGCTTATGCGGATGATGATCCGAAACCTTCATGTAGCATCCAAAGATGTTCGGGGAACAAATTTGGATGATATGTTCCGTGACGTGTTTGGGATACGTTCCCTCTTTAAGCAACGTTTTTATGAGCCAAGTTATCTGTGTGAGTGTACAATAAATATATTTGCAGCCATTTTCGCGTTGTGTAAGTACAATTATGATTGCATACCAAGTTGGCGTGCTTGTGCACGACATTGTCGGATGATATAGTATAAAAATTCGCCATCAGCGTTTCGAAAATCAAGCGTAGATATTCGCATTTCGCGTCCTTGAAAAATTTCAGGAAGGAATCGCTAACTTTGAAACTGCATCCGCTATTATCTTCGGTTATTAAAACCGGCAAGTACTGATCCAAGATATCTCTGATCATCGCTTGTAACAGTATGTCGCTCTTGACGTTTAACTTTTCCAGACCGAGTAATACCATCGAGAATATTCTCTTGCCCAATTGCTTTATATACGATTGCGCAGAGTTCTCGGGTACCAGTAGAACTTTATTAATAAGCGTTCTCAACATGTCGTTTGGTTGATTCTGTGAAATATGAATATTTTCTAAATAATACTTCAAATAGGAAGATTCCTATAAAAGAATTTTTTCAGCAGCGATTATTAGAGCGCATACTTTAGCATACAGCATCGGAGAAAGGCAGAGAATCAATGTTCCAAGGCACCTGTAAATCCAAATCGCCAGATCCGTGTTTTTCGTCTCCTCCGTTACAGGTATCAGGACCCACTTCTCCAAGTTTTTAAAGTACGTTTTACATTTCGCATTATATCGAAGCCTTTCCTGATCAGTCTGAAATTCTTCGGTTGTCTTCAATTTGCTTCTACACGTCAGAGTGGAATATATTGTAAAAACTAATACCTTTAATGCATTCTGCCTCTCCATGAACGATATTATGAATGTAATAATAGGCTCATTGCCATTCTTAAATTCCTGCAGATTCCTGAAATTCGACATGAATATTTCCTTGATATCGTCGAGATTGAGAATGTAATTTTGCAGAATCCTTGTCTCTTCCCTATCTGTGTTGTAGCCAACGATAGAACACTTTATCCATGCCTGAAACATATATATTTTGTGAACACTGATTGTTTCACAGTACACGAAATGATAAAGGAAACATCGCACGAACTTGGATAAGAATAATATCGAAATTTGCAATTTCCTTTTTCAGGCTTTGCACCGCTTCGCCGTTCTCGAGAATCATCGTTAAGTAACACTGAGTAATTCTGAAAACAGACGCCACTGCATTACTTCTGACTAATTTTCAGACAAACTATTTCTTACCTTATATCTTTCACAAATACTGATGCCGCAAAGTGTTGAAATAAAGACATAGTTGAATGCTTGTGCGTCTTAGCAGTAGCCGGATCTCTGACTGCTTCTAACGTAAATATGACAGCCAGTTTGGAGATAATTTTATAATTGTCACCAGTAAGCACGGGATCAAAGACGAGCTGGCGGACTCTACAAGCGACAGAACCCCACAGCGCGTTTAACATTTCCCTGGCACCATCTACAAGCAAGTCTTAGTAAGTTGGCATGTCTTTTTCATTAAATTTGCCAATACATCGTCAAAAATTGCAATATTAACGTATTTGAAGTGAAGATAAATAAACATACCGACCCGAATTGTCACAAGAAACCTGCAGAATAACACACTTGTCCAAAACATTGGCGAGCATTTCCAGCAAAAATCCAATTCTGTTCTTCGGACACTCTAAGAGATAACGATCGATCCAACCGCCTATGAAATTGTATTCTCCCAAATCAATTTTCTCACTGGCGGACAAGACTGTATTTAAGACATCGACGAAATTGGTCATCATGGAACGAGATGTTTCGTCTTTGCGACAGCTTATTAAGTTGACCTATTCAACAAATTGGAATACAGTTTTTTAAATTTACGTAATCCAAGATATAGAAAATGGAACCTACTGTTTCCGTAAAATGATTAATTATCGGAGCAAAGGATAATCTCCTCTCGTTGAACAATAGGAGACACGTTAGTTTTCCTTTCCAGATTAGATTGCACTTTTTATTGTATTCGCTGTTTAATTCTTGCGTGGATGGCAAGAGATCTAACATCGTCGTGCACTGCGAGAATGCATATTAATTGTATTGTCAGTTTGTGTAATTAATAGGAATTGCGTAATTTTACTTACTACGTTTGTAATATCTGCAGTAACAGCTAAAGTGATAAATAAGGATATGAAGTTGTAGAGGCCACTCTCGGAGAACTCTGCGACTTTATTCTTCGAAAATTTCGTGTACACACGTCCTTTAATTTGATTCCAATATTTCGGGTCTACCTTACTGTATTTCTTCAAAAAGGTGCCTGAAAAAAGTTAATCTTTAACGTACAAGAAATGTGTACAAAGTTTTCGTTAAACTCACCTATTAAGTATAAGAACATGCCATAGCTAGATTCCTTGGAATGCTCAAATTTGCTGTCAATTCTGTTATTAATCTGTTTTAGAATGTCTGCAGCAGTTTTTCTACAAAAAAAATTTTTATAAATATATTTAAATACACAAGTTTTTCATAGTAAATAAAGTAAATCACTTGCATACTTTTCAAGGGACAAAGCCCAAGGTCCAGAGGTCTGCAACAAGAACGGCTGGTCTAATCTTTTGTGAAAACAGTCCCAGAGAAATGATATAACCGGCACACGCGGTTGCCACCAGTTAATAATAAGCTCATGCAACAGCGATATTATGATCTTGAGTTCGACATCAAGTTCATCCCTCTCGCCGTCCTTTCCACCTTTACACACGTATATTTTTAGAACTTTCTCCACTTGTTCGTAATTGGATTTAATCTGCAAATTGATGCATGGAGTACGTGATCCGTAAAATTTTCAATCTCTTCGTGCCTTACCCTTGACGAGTTTGACTGCAAGTATACACCGTCATTACTGTATCCGTACAACAGAGACAAGTGATACACTATCCAGATGCAGAACAGTTCAGGATTCTTACAATCCGGCAGAACAGAGTCTCCGCTCTTATGCCAAAATATCATTTGGGTCTGATCTGTGTTTAATACTTTATGGATACAGCTATTTACGTGGTCCCAAAATGTCTAAAAATATTTCGTTCGATGAGAACAGATCTGCAGGATTACTAAGAAATTATTAAAGGGATTTACCTTCGTTTTCATCCTTCCCTCTAGACTGTCGATAAATATTTGTAGCATGAGCCACAGCTCTCGTGTACATGTACAGAAATACGGTGTCTTTTGCTTATGATCTACAGTCCAGTTTAAAGATAACTAAAAAAAAAGAACAGATAAATATTATAAAATAATATTTCCATGTCCAAAAACGAACTGGATTCTTCAATCATTTTTATTACCCTCTCAAATACTTTCAAGGCAAAATATATGAGATCATTGATGACCATTTCAGCACTGTTTTCAAATTCTTCCACTGGATGCATTTGATATTGGCACCACATAGTTCTTGAATGTACTAATGTGATGAAAAACCATCTTAACTCTATATGTGTGTGACATAAGTGAAATTCTGGCTGCTTACACTGAAACAGAAGCACTATTAAGAACTGCAACTATGTTTCTGTTGGTGCTACAGTGATAATATACTTTTTAATTACCTTATTTCCTATGTTGGAAGCAGCATAATGCAGAATTGAATCGGGAATATTACGCAATGTACTAAAAAATCGCTTGAGAGAATTAAACAAAGCATCCACATCTTTGTTAATTTCAGGTACTGCTATTTCCAAGGCACTGAGGTCCCACCTTATACTGTGATATCAGATTTAACTGAGTAATTCATGGCAAAATTAAATATTAGAAAGAGAAAAAGTTTACTTACCCATTCATATATGCACGGAAATATAAAATGAAGTTACAGATCATTTTTCTTAAGGAAAAATAATTTTCATCATCATTATCACACACTCTCGATAATACAGTTGATCTGCTTTGTCTGTTTAATATTTTCAATTGCATCCTGCAATATAAAGACATACATCTAAAATAAAATTTTGCAATACGTCTGATAGAAAATGATTTATTCAGTAACTTTTAACAATAAAGATAATAAACATTTTTTATTACAAAAATACGTTCTTACTCCATGCAATTAGTGAGATGATTAAGATTCATCACACCAACAGCTCCAGGCATGACACAGTCAAAGAGTCTGACTTCGATACAGGAAAAAGGATAGTCGGCTTGTGGAAAAAGCACATTGTCCACTTCTTTATGGGAAAACAAACCATCTCTGTCGAGTTGCCAATCGTTGATATTCACTTTACCGCTGCAGTCGCAGGTAATATCAAAATCCATCTGTAAATCTGCTATCAAGATTAATCATTCTGTTTATTATGACATTGTAACAGCAGCAGTATGCATTCTAATAAAATAACAAACCTTTCGCGTTCGTATTTGCGATCAAAGCTGCAAAACTTGGGTAATCGATTGTAACATTGAGATAAATTACATTGAGCTAATTTTAACAGAGCTCCTGGCCCTTGAAACACTATGAAAAAAACATGTCGATGCTCCTTCAACTAGCAGACAACTTTCATGCATTTTGGCGGCATATTCTTTGTGGCGCTATTGTGGCATACGATGTCAAAATCTCAGAATGGAGACGCGGCCCGCATAAACCGTAACAGAAAGAATAAAGCCGGACGCATAATAGAAAAAATATTACGAATAGAAATAAATATTAAATATTAGGAAGGGCAGTTTGAAATTATTTTATTTCAAACAAAGGAACGAAATGTATTAATTATTCCTAATTTTTAATTTTTAATTTATGGTACGTTAATACATTCCATTTTTTTATTCTGAAATAAAATAATTTCAATTTCCTACTCTTAATATTTAATATAACATCTTTAACAAAAGTATTTATCAATATCCGAATTTCCATCTTCTAATATATGTAAATCAAAGAAATATGCAATGTCACCTTTATTACCGGCTCGGTAAGAACGAGACAGAAAATACAATATATCTGTTCTCTTCTGCGGGGCCGCGCGTTTCCATTCTGGTCAATTGTGATTGTGACATGATTTATTCTATAAGATCAACCATGGCGCCAGAACAAAATGCTATTGTCGAAAGTTCGTGACAAAATCTCCATAACTATTGATATATTTCATTGAAGCACAATTTTTATTACTAAATCTCTATTCAGATTTACAATGAAGTATCTTATCTCACGGCAAGTATTATTCTGCCTGAAAGAAAACACATGATAAGATCGTGTCATCCCACGCACAATAGAAGACTCTTGAGTTATTTTCAACAGAAACTTTTTTCCAGTTTTATTTATTTTCTATCTATTTTTCTGAGAAATAATAGCATTTCTGAGAAATAATGCATTTAAATAACAATAATACTTAACAATTATCAATAACAATTACTGATACTCAGCGATTGTTTCAAGTAAATTTAATTACATATTGCAGAACGCAATTTTTGCTCGTCCAGTTTTTATTTCTCACATCTTTTTGTCCTTTTTCAGAATCAGGATTGCGAATCCTGCGATTTAAAGTTTACGTTCGTTGCGTTGTTTACAAGCACGTTCGGAGTGGCGAGTCGAAGATGGCTGCGAAAGCGAGGAGCGCATCGAATAGCCCAGCCACGTGCGCGTAGTGAATACACGAGGATAAAATGCATTCCTGGCGTGTTGTCCGTTGTTAGATTCGTCCGTGCGAAAAAGCCGCGCTGAGTACTGCATCTACACTTCATTTCCGCTCAATTCGTCCGATCGGCAAGCGACGGCTGAGAACCGCGAGGTTGATGCCCGTGAAGATCCGATGACTCACTCGTCAGTGTTACTTACTTGCGATCAGGTGATGATGCTCTTGTAAGAAATAAAACGGAGCCAGTTTGGAACACGCGGCAATATGAACGTTTTTAAGGATCTTCAGGACGAGGTAAATTGCTCGTAAATTAGAATAATTCCTTGGGATATCACTATTATCAATGTAACAGTGCTTGCTTAGGTTAAGCTATTGTGTCAAATATGTTTTTCAATAGTCATTGCTTTTTTGAGGAATATTTATGTTTAGTCGGATGACTTTTTGCACTTTGTATATTCTTTCTTTTGCCCTCTGAAACCTAAATATTTATCTATTTTATTTTATTTTAAATAAAATTTTGTTTTATTTATAAAACAAAATGTTTGCAAGATGCTGCTGAAACAAGCGGATTTATATTTTCACATTTCAATCAAAAGTCAATCGTATACAATGGATAGTTGTAGTTTTCTTAAATTTGGCCTTAATAAAGGTTGAATTACAATTGTTTAAAATGTGTTTCACAAGTTCGTACAAAAGATAAATTTGTGATTGTTTATTTCCACAGCCTCCCTTGTTGCAAGCTATATTTCATGGAAACATAGAAGCAGTTCGTACATTGTTATCTCAACAGGAGGATGTCAATTGGCAAGACAAGGAGCAGCGTTCCCTTTTACATGCTGCAGCATATAGGTCAATATTTCAATCAGTAAAACATTAAGAACTTAATGCAAAACTCTGATCATCATGTGACTGTTTAAAAATATGTGTGGCATTTGTATTTCAGAGGAGATACGGCTATTGTAGAACTTCTTTTGTTAAACGGTGCAGTTGCTAACAGCAAAGACAAGAAATGGTTAACTCCATTGCATAGAGCTTGTTGTTCTGGCAATTATAACGTAGTAGACTATTTATTAAGATACAAAGCAGACGCAAATGCCCGAGATCGCAGTTGGCAGACACCTCTCCATGTAGCAGCAGCAAATAACGCTGTGCAGTGTGTAGAACTTCTAATACCACATTTATTAAATATCAATGTCACAGACAGGTTTGTACACTTTTAGCTTTATTATTTATCACAGATCTCGTAATAATTATTCAACAAAGAGTTGCAAGCGAATCGTTTCAATAAGTCAATAAATTATGGTCATTGAATTGTAAAATTGTTTATAAATAATATAAATAACTGTTAAGTTAACATTTTTGATAAATAATAAATACATAAGTGACTATTAAAATCATATTTATTTTTATTACTGTATTGATAAGTTAATCGTTAATAAGAAATATATAAATAATTACTAAATTAAAACTTGCAGAGGCGGCAGAACGTGTCTTCATCATGCAGCGTATAACGGCCACTTCGAAATGGTGGAGTATCTAATACAGTTCGGTTGTGTGATAAATGCATCTGACAAAAAGGATCGAAGAGCTTTACACTTTGCGGCGTACAACGGCCACAATGAGATTGTAAAAACCTTGATAGCTAAGGACGCTGATGTGAACGTTAAAGTACATATTCCTTTAAACAAAACTTTCGACAGCGCGCTCTTTGGACGCATGTCATATGTGTATATATTTTTGTATGTCAAAAGGATCGAGATTTATACACTCCGTTACACGCAGCAGCCGCTTCCGCTAACGTGGAGTGCGTGCATATTTTGATCAGTGCTGGCGCAGATGTCGAGGCGAAGAATGTCTACGGAAATACTCCGCTACACATTGCCTGCTTGAACGGATGTCCCCGTGTGATCAAGGAACTCATGTCTAATCATGTCAATTTAGGTGGGTTATTTATCGGTACTTCCGTTATCGACTCCACGACACACTCGAATAATCATTGTACGCATCAATCGCAAACAGAAGCGCTGAATTATCGGGGACAGACCGCGCTACATGTCGCCGCCGCCAGCTTACACGGCGTCCAGTGCTTCGAGATGCTTATATATAACGGACTGAAGGTGAACGTTCAGTCGGAGGACGGCCGTACGCCGTTGCACATGACTGCGATCCATGGAAGATTCACTCGCTCGAAAACACTGCTCGATGCGGGAGCCTTTCCGGACGCGAGAGACAAAAACGGAAACACAGCTTTACATATCGCCGCCTGGTAAGTCGCGCGGGAAATACATAAATTTTCACGTGTCGTGCGATTGAAACGACAAGAGCAAACGGTAAATTACAGGTTCGGTTTCGAGTGTTTGACGACGTCTCTGCTGGAAAGCGCCGCGTCTCCGGCCACGCGCAACGCGCAACAACGCACGCCTTTGCATCTGAGCTGCCTGGCGGGACATATAGAAGTGAGTGGTGAATTCGTCGATGTAATTTCTATGTCACGACAATGGTTCAGTGTCTGATCAGTGACTTGTTTTCGTCGTGTCACAGGTTTGCCGTAAGTTGTTGCAGCTTGATAGTAGACGAATTGATGCGCGAGACATCGGTGGCCGAACGGCCCTACATTTAGCAGCTTTTAAGGTAGCGTCCCTTATCTTTAATTCTTCACAATCATTATTTCTAAGTCTTTCTCAATGTTGCGGAAGAATACATTACTGAAAGAATACATTATCGAATGTTTCCAACAGGGTTCCGTGGATTGTCTAGATTTACTGTTATCGAGCGGCGCCAATTTCCGTCTCGTTGATAACGACAATCGACTGGCTCTCCACCACGCCGCGAGTCAAGGACATTATCCGTGTGTCTTCACACTGGTTGGATTTGGCAGCGACTCGAACGCTCAAGACGTGAACGGCGCCACTCCGCTGCACTTGGCCGCAGCGGCGTCGAACTCGAACGCCCAGTCAGTATCGAACCTCGTTGTCAGCGATCGAGTTCTCGTTCGCGCGGCGCTTATTAATTATCGCATTTGCGCAGGTCCTACAAGTGCGTGCAGTACTTGCTGCAGCACCGAGCAGATCCGCGTTTACGCGATAAACGCGGTTTCACGGCGATTCACTACGCAGTGGCGGGCGGCAATCAAGCGGCGCTCGAGGCGCTTTTGAACGCCTCGTCGTCGGAAACTCCGACCGCTTCGTCCAGCTCGTCGACCGCGGAGGAACCATCCTTGCCAGCGCTCACTCCGATACATCTCGCGGTACAAATTGAATCATTTGAGACATTCGAGAAGTCGCATGTATATCTAACTCGCGAAATGTTTCACCAGGCGTATCACGGTCACGACGAAATCTTGAAGCTGCTTCTGCCTTTGTTCCCCAACACGAACGTCCAAGAAGACAGCGGGAAAACGCCATTGGATCTCGCAGCCTACAAAGGACACAAGGAGTGCGTCGAGCTGTTATTGCAGTTCGGTGCTTCAGTATCGGTGCAGGTGTGAAGAATCTGAATTTCTCCTTCATAAAAATGTATGTAATAAACACTAACGTCGGACCGCGTGTCTCCAGGACAACGTGACGCAACGTATGCCTGTACACTGCGCCGCCGCGGCGGGCCACGCCGACTGCCTGGCCCTGCTGCTGCAGCAGACGGACGATCCCAGCGTGGTGAATCGCTACGACGCGAAACAACGGACTCCCCTGATGCTGGCGGTCGCGAACAACCACATGGAATGCGCGATGTTGCTGTTGAAGTACAAAGCCGATTGCAATCTGCCTGACGTCAACAAGCACACACCGCTGTTTCGGGCAGTGGTCAATGAGCGAGACAATCAGATGGTGAAACTGTTGCTGAAGCACGGCGCGCGGGTGGCCGTGCAAGACACGAATGGGAAGACGCCGCTACACTTGGCAGCCGCCTGCGGCAGGTGAGAAGTCGCGTTTGCGCGAGATCTCCTTGTCGCAAACAGAGTTGAACTTGCGCCTCGAATTTCCCTTCGCAGATTGTGCGCTTTGGCGGCGCTCGTCACAGCCGATCCGACCGCGGCCGCACTGAAGGACGATCAAGGCTGCACTGTGCTCCACTGGGCTTGTTACAATGGGAATTCGAATTGCGTGGAGTATCTCTTGAATCACAGCGTGTTCGACTTCTTGGAAGGTGAAGCCTATTTCTCGCCTGGGTTGAAAGAAACTTGTCCGACGACTTTCCCCGCGACTGAGTTGACCTTTTTTTTTTTTATTATTTACAGACAATCCATTCTCCGCTGTACACTGCGCCGTATATCAGGGATCCGCGCACTGCTTGGACTTACTGATTAATAAGTTTGGCGGACAAGCGGTCGCCGCGCCGAGGGACTCGTCGTGCGGTCTGCTGCCGCTACACGTTGCGGCCAGCGCTGGATCCGTCGAGTGCGCGCTGCTGATTTTGAAGTCCGTTGGGCCGGAATTAGCCGGGCTCGAGTCGACCGATCACTTCGGACGGACGCCGCTTCTCTGCGCGGCTATCAACGGACAGTGCAACGCTATTGGTATTTCATTGCAACAAAATCACACGCTCGTATCTCTTTTGGGAATTGCATTAACAAGATGTTATTCTACTGGTAGACCTGCTGCTTCAGTGGAAGGCCGACGTGCGCGCCGTCGATTCCAGTATGAACACGGCGCTGCATTTGGCGTGCCAAAGACGGCATTCCGCCGCGGCAGAGTTGCTGCTGAGCTGGATCGAGTCGCTTGGCGGCAACGAGGCCGACAAGAACGCGTCGCAGCAGCAGCGTGTGACTATCATCAATATGAAGAACAAGCAGCAGCGAACGCCGCTGCATCTGGCGGCGAGAAACGGCCTTATAACGGTAAGCTGGGAAACCGCGTTGAAATGCGCGACGACGATCGCGATAAATGACAAGATGTTATTTTTTTTGTCCAGGTCACGCGGCAATTATTGCAATTGGGCGCGAGTGTCGTGGCCGTCGACGCCGATGGACTCACGCCCGCCTTAGCTTGCGCCCCGAATCCAGCAGTGGCCAAGTGCTTGGCCACTATTCTCGCCGCGCACGGTATGTGTACAATTTTTACCTCCTTCTGAATTTGTTGTCCTCAACGCGTGGAGTAACGCGTAGGATCCTAAATCTCTGTCGTCAGGACAAAACGGGGAGACCGCGCAGTACTCGCCGTCCATCCAGCAAACGTCGGAGGGGTATCTGAACGGCGGCCGGAACGGCGTGGACTCGCAGCACAGCTCCGACTCGGAGTTTTACTGACAGCGAGCGTCGACGCGCTCGGACCGTCAAGCGTTCCGAGCGAATAATCTCAACAACTCGACAACGCGCGGCAACATCGACGCGGCAAAATTGATCTGGACGAGCTGCTGGCTTTTCTCCGTTCTAGCGTAACTTTTAGCGGACAGATCTATCACTCGAGGTGACCAGCCATTTAAGTAGCGATCGTGACAATACCAGTATCTGTGCTGTCGACAACTCGATAGTAACTAATCGACTGCCAAGAAGAGTACGGATGTATGTGTGTACGTACCAACGTTACTTAATAATAGCTTTAGGCACATTTATGAGACGAGTGAGCTGTACAACAGCCAGTCGTCCAGCTTTCTGTTTGTTTAGCTACACGAATTTGCAAACGCGAAATATGCAATATTTTGCATTAGATTGGCGCTGCACTGAGAGAGAAGAATAATTGCAGTAATCATAATTTATGTTTTTTGACGTCAACCATTTTTATAGATATTTTAACTATATGATTGTTAGTATAAAATTATTACTGCTAATTGTAACAGTTCTTATAAAAATAAGTATATTCGCCATAATTATAGTTCCATATAATTATAATTCCAAATATACTTTTCTCTCAGTGCGAGGATTTATCGCATTGTCAAGGAATTTTCCACTTACTTGACAAGACGACAGATTTCCTGCATTAATTTAATGCCGTGCAATACAATATTTATAAAAAGAACAAAAAAAAACGAATATTAATTTTAAAACTGACGACGCAATCAGCGGCGGCGTTCCTAGAACGTTTAATTGTATATATGATTCAATATCGATCATGTCGTGTAATATTCAGCTTCAAGTTAATAATAGAGCGTTACTTTTAAATCATGCTCAACACTTTCGTTCCGGTTGCAAATATTTTCAAAAAGTGACGGCTCACTTAATGCTATTCACGGAGAGCATCAAGAAAGTGCGTTAAGTTGGAAAGAGTACAAAATTCCGCCGTTATTCGCTGTATTCCTTTTGGATATCATCGCAATATTGAAATTTATTTATTTTTTACTCTAGCGAAATATTTATATTTTTCTTTCTTCTCATATACATAAGTGAGAACGAGAAGCTCGCGGCTTTGCCACGCGTATTATGTGCAATTTCCATCTACGTAGCCGAAATTACAATAAGTAACGCACACATACCCCCTCCATATTTCCCGCGACAGGTTTGCCTGCAAAATTGATTCTAAATAGCGTCGGGAGTACAATGCGCGCGTAATAGAGTTCTCTCGCGAGCGACTAATGTAAGTCTCGAGTGGACCACGCAGAATAATTCTGACGAACGGATTTGCATTGAAAGATCTGCAAGATCTGCAAATGTAATATGCAATTACTGATTTAACGAACGGCGGCGTATTATCGATTTTCTAGTTGAATATAAGATAGAGATCGCAGTCTGCGCGCGACTCGTTCTTAGGACGGACGATTTAGACGTCATTGCAAATATCGACGAATGTACAGACAATGCTCAACGTTGCATTTACTAATCTAGGTTGATTCTTATTAGTTTAGGCAAATGTCTTCCATTCTCAACAGCACTTTTCTTAAAAAAACTTTTATTTATTTACGAATAAAAATTTTCTTTACAATATATATATATATAATAAAAAAAAAAATATTTATCAATAACTAACAGTTTAATTCTCAACATCAATTGTATCTCATCATTTACACTCTTCCGCGCCAATGATTTTATACACTTTTCAGACATTTGAACGTTAACGTTCGGAACAAGCGTCCGTAAAGATTTTGTGATCCTTTTGGTTTGGTTTCGCCGTATGAGAAAGCGTAGGATTACAACTCGTAAGGAGAAATGCCGAAAGTATGAATAATTAATTATCAACGTCCCATGTTGTAAATATACCGAAACGGACTGAATTTATACCCCCCCTCCCCCCTCCCTCCGGGTACTCTGTACATAGAATAAGGCAACGAGGGAGAGAAACGAGTATTTAGCTATTTTCTTAGATATTTGTTAGTAAAAAAAAGAACCTAAACTGCCTGACTAAACTGTACGTTGTAACGAGGACGTAGAGCTTGTAAGTGTTAAGATGCGTAGTGGCCAATCGTGGAATTGAATCGGAATACGTTGGGACAACAATATATTTAATTTTGAGACGTTCTGTATTCCCCGTTTCTCGAAGCTATCAACGTCGATCGCTTTACAGCGGTCATTGTCACGTGACGATCAAGAGGGACACTTGCCGTAGCCGTAGTCGTTTTTTATTATTTTTGTACTTAAAATTTTGCCCATACTTTTTGCATTTAATAGATCGTAAGCGTGATCTCTAGGCGATTTTAAGCGCTAATGTGATCGATACGATAGGGAATTGTATAACTCATCGACGGGATATTGTAGTCCAATTGTACATACCGACTTCAATCGCATCGCTTATATGTAATAATAATTAATGCAATTAATGAAATTGTTAATACCGGGAAATCATGATCTCGTGATTTGTACGTGATTTTGTACTTGCGATTGTTGTAGAAAAGCGAGAAAAATTGCATGTATCGTGCGCCACTGTTCACTCTCAGACACGTAAAGACTCCATCGCTGTACATATATATCGAAGAAAATATTTTTTCTATACCCCTTTCTCTCGCGTACGACAGGTTTTTTCAGGATGCAATATCGTATTACATGAAAGTTGCAGGATATTTTAAAGGGTTTCCGATGATACGTTTGTATCGTGAATATTTGTAATCAATACACGTCACTACATTCTATTTTCACACGCGGCTCACAGTAATTTACCTGCTTTTCCTCCGAAACATCCTACAAATTCTTCAATCGACATTGATTTGTGCAAATCAAATATAACTTATTTCAATAATGTTTCACAGTTCACTGATTTCAAGAGGGCTTAATATTAAGTAGAAATTTTCAACTCTACTCCCTGTACTTTCCGAATAAAATCCTTTACATTCAACGATGTGTCATGTTTATTTTATTTCTCTCAACGGTGACAGAAATGCTCCTTATTGACAGAGTTGCGCGCATCAATGTCCGCGTATAAAATAATCATATTCCTAAATAATAACAGTGATAAAAATAATTATCTCACAAGATCTCTCGCATCAGGCGCGATACTATTTACAATTATGTACACTTCCATGCATGTATGCGATTCACTATTACACGCAAACACAACGGTGACATAAATAATAATGCAACACTCGTTATTCACAGACTCATCCTTTTAGGAATGCTCATAATACTGAAAAAATGTTTGGTGATAAAGCAATATCCTTAATCAGTACTGATTGACTTAAAATTACTGATTGACTCAGCTATCAATTGTATAAAATAAATAAATACAAGATAATTTAACATCACAATTTCACCATAAAAGTTATTTCCGTATTAAAGTTTCTTTCGGTTAAACGCACTCATGCTCGAGCGCTAAGCTGATTATAACTCGTTTATCCGCTGCTGAGTTTTCCTGGGCTTTGGCACTCTTCTCTAGATTCTCCGCCGACAACTCTAGACAGAAGTTGTCGTAAGCGTACGCGTTCGCCGCGATATTCGATTGCTTCTCCTCCGAGATCGTCGCGTATCGTTGGAGTGTGATGTTCTTCGGTTGCGACCAGACGTTGGAGAAGATTTTGCTGGCGTTCAAGCTGTCGCTCGGCTTATCGCAGAACTTCATTTCGATGTCGTCGAGACTGCGTCCTCGGGTCTCCGGTAATATCGTGAGGGCGAAGACGGCGCCGAGCAAACCGGCTGCGCCGAACAACCACATCGTAGACTCCAGACCGACGGTACCGTTCAGATCCGGATACGTTTTGATCATGACAAACGTTAGTATCTGCACAATGCTGGTCGTGAGACCCCCCAAGCTGCCTCTAAACCGCAGCGGGTACAATTCTGACGTCATCACCCACGGCAACGTCAGGAAGCCGATCATGGACGCGCCCACATGGGTCCCGACACAGAGCAGCGGCACCCACGACGGAAGATTGAACCTGGTCACGAAGAAAGCTGCATTATTTCCAAGAGTAATTGGACACCTCGAAAAATCAACAATATTGATCAAAGGAAAAAATATATAAAGATATGAAAATAAAAAGAAACAATAAATTGTGTAATTCATGAAGGAAGAGACTGCGAGGTTGGTCATCAAGAATATAATTTGACAAGGCAAACCTGAAGGAAAGGGCGACTCCCGTGGCCGCGGCGGCCATCCCGAAGCCGCTGGCGGAGGCTAGGGTCTTCCTGCCGAAGTTATTCGCCAAGCCGGCACCGAGAATCGACGTGAACAGCCTGATAACGCCTATGCCGACGCTGGCAGTGTATTTGTTCACATTTAAGCCGATGTCTTTCAGCACGTTCACGGCGTAAAATAGAATCACGTAAATGCCGGACAGTTGCTGGAGCGCGAAGAAGACGAGAAGGATCAGAAACGGTTTCCACACGTTGGGCATGTGTAGCGCCCGCAGCAGACTATCCTTTGTCTCCTTCCGCTTCGCGTTCGCCTCGCAGAGCTCTTGGTATTCTTTATCGACGTTCAATCCGGGACCTCGCAGCCACAGAAGAGCCTCTTTGGCCTCGTCCGTTCGGCCTCTCGAAGCCAGCCAGGCGGGCGTTTCCGGTAGCATTCTGCAGAAGCGAAATTCTCGTTCAACGATGTTTCGCGAATTGAAGAATCAAGAGAGTGAGTAAAATATTTGTAATATAAAATCTATTTTAGATTTTTTACACATTTGCGAGAGAAATATTAATAAAACTCAAAAGAACAATCACCGTATCAGCGCGAATGAAAGAATCGTTGGTCCAATGCTGATAGCGGCCGCTCTTTGCCACGTCGTGATAGCGCCCAAAGTGTACACCATCAGAACACCCAAAGAAACCAGAACTGGCCCACAGCTCGCGAGCCAAGCTCTTTCATCCGGCGCGGCTGTCTAAAAAAAAATATATTTTTTTAAATTAAACCCCTGCGAACGGAAGTAAAGACACAAACAGAATAGTATAGAAATTACTAGCTTCTGCGCTCCGACAATCGCTTTCTGTATCATTATTATCTTTGAAGAATCGCACGTTAAATAAAATTATACATCGATTATTGCGCATAAAGATCACGAAAGACGCGAGGACATTTCCATCACATTTGTACCCGCACATACCTCGCTGATGTAAAGATAGAGCCCGTTGACCATACCGGTGCCGATGCCGTTGACGAATCTGCCGGCGTATAGCATCGGCACATTTTTCGATAATGCGATCAACAGCCAGCCGGCCGCATGCGGCAGTGTGGCCAGAGCGATCGCGGATCTGCGGCCGAAGCATTCGGCACAGAGGCCGGCGACGAGGGCACCCAGAGGATTCGAGACGACGCCGAGCGAGGCGATCCACGACGCCTGTGACTGGTCCACAAAATTCGCCTCGAAGAGCTTCGGTATCAGGATCGCGCTGTATCCTTGCGACAGCCCCACGGAAATCTGCCCGGTGTGCGCGGCCAAACCCGCCAGGATCTGAAAAAGGATTGTCTATTAAAATATGTATAACTATGAATTTTATGATAGCTACGTATAATTTAGATTGTTTAAACTGTAATGTTTTAACTATTTTTTTATCACAATGTAAAAAAATTACGTAGGCATATAACATTAATAATTACATGTATTTACTGTATTGAACTTAGATATGTTTGTTGATTAATAATGTTGCATTTAATTAATATTGGAATATAATTTGAGAATTAATTAAATGAAATAAACATTTAGAGTTGAAAGATGATGCAGGTTGATTCTTGATAAGAATCTGATAATTGACAAATTTAATTAAATTACTCGCAATTTAACTTGTTATTTTGTCAAATCTACTACTTGATTGTTTATAGAATTCACATTATTTTTAAAAATATCTGCGTTAAAAACAATATCACGGTTGGTATGCGTAGTATGTGCGAATGTTTAGTGAAGCGATCAGAATTACAGTTTTCCGCGTGTTCAAAATGTCAATCACCGTCTGGGGATGTGTATTGAAACTCTAATTGATTCTAATTGTAAGTAAAATTCCATTATTGAATTCCAGATGTGCAAATTGTCTTTATTGTATGTTTTACGTAATCTACGAATACTTACATCAATATTGTTACGTATTACTAATTACCGAATCATTACGTAATTCGTACAATTATCTTGAAAGTACAGAAGCACAATTGAAGTTAACGCGAGTAATTAATGCAAATAATGTCTTGCAACGATAACCGCTTTTATATTAAAAAAATAGATGATACTTATTTTCATCTCAAGCCTGTGTTTTATTGTAATTAATTTGAGAATTCGAAACTGCTTGTAAACTTTTGCGTCTCCAAGATATTTGTATAAAAAGAAATCAGAGCTATTTATTTTTTATATTAGCTTAAAGTGCAATGAACAAACAGTCCACATATTCGGCGGATCTATATAATTATATTGATACGATAATAGTACTAATTAAAATTTTAAATAAATCGAGGCTTATATTCATACGCATAAATGCAAAATAGTACAACTGTTTTCTTCCAAACAAATAAATTCAAAAGAAGTCTTTTTCTTATACTAAAATTAAACTACTGTCTATAGAAAAGGCAGCGATGGATCTTGCGCTGTTTTGGAGAGATTCGGCATGTGTCAAGTAAAACCTGGAAATATCTTTCGCGAGCTTGGCGAATTAAAACAATAATAAATAAAAGTATCGAATGATGATGCGCTGACGTAGGATGCGTGTGGCATGCGTTATCGTTTTTCCGCGAAGGATCGATACGTATACATCATACGAGACGCGAAACGCGTCAGTCTGTATCGTCGGTGAATAAATCATTCGTAACCATGTGCGCCACTAGCGAAGTCATTATCACTCGGATCGCGAGAAGGAAATTTATAAGCTTCACGAAGGCCGAATCAAGGCTCACCCACGCTCGCGGCTACGAAACTTATACCGACGTTCGATTCCGCATTCGAAATTCGCTTCGAATGGAACGGCGGATGCATAGAATTTGAATAAGTAGAACACTCAAAAAAAAAATTTTGCCTTTTTCGATTTTATAGGTTACAAAATATTAAAATGCGTTCGAGTTATTTTAGCCGAATTTTTATCAAAACAATTATTGAATATAAACTAATGGACATAAGAAATTATGCCGAGACTATTGCTCGTCGATTGCTTGATGGAAATTAGATGGAAAATCGTGCGATAGATTCTGCAGCATTACGAGTAGAACGAAGGACGAGGCGAGGATCGAGAAGGCCGATCCTACCGAGTCTGTGTCCGTCTATTTATTCGTAAGCAATCATCTTCCCTTCATTAATGGCCTTACTCAACAAAGCCTGCTTGTGTGCATGCGGGTGTGTGACATCCGCAATAATTATCCTTATCGATTACAAAGCGCGAGATAAGTTTGACAAACAGGAAACAATTTTTTACCATAGGCGCCCGCAGAAATTTGTCTAGGTAGGAGCGAGTCTAAAATCCTCGAGGCTATGTTTACACATAATATTCTGTTATAATAAAAAAAAAACAGTGAGAAACCTGTGTAGCTTAAAGTCAAGATTCATATTATTTAAATTATAAAAATTATATTATTTTTCATTTGAAGATCGAGCAATGTAATATTTCATTAAAAAATTCAGAGTCATATTCCAGAGGGGAGGGATGCCCCTTCTTGCCTCCCCTCCCCTCCCCCCTTGAGGGCGCCTATGTTTTTTACATTTATTTTATTCTTTTGTCTCTACTTCTTTATTATTATTGCACTTCTGTTAGTTATTATATGACATTATTCTGCTGTATTTTGCATCTCAGATGCATTGCCATTGCATGTATTATTGTGCAAGCGATGCAAGAAGCGCACAGTATCTTTTCGTCCTGTCATCCGGCTTCATAAGTAATTATTTCGCGCCAGGAATATTTCGCATGTCACCAACACATTCCCGAGGAGCAAGAATTTTAGCAAAAAAATCGCACGCTTTTGTCCCGTTTGTTCGATTAAATAAGCGAGAATCTATTTTCTCTTTGCGCCACTTGACATTTGCCGCTTTATTTCGCAACATCAAGAAATATAAAAATTCCAAATGCATCGCGCATTCCGTGTCGGAATTAAAGAAATGAAAGAATGTGATATTCTGTCGTTAATCGCGTATTCGTAATGCAGTAATCGAACGACTTACACTTCTTTTCTCGCCGGATTGTAAGAGCTTCCACCAGAGCTTCGTTTGGCTGATCATCGCGCACAGTCGGCGGTGTGTTCGGGTTTCTGTAAAAAAATATTTCGTCAATAAAAATACTTCCTCCAGCTTCGTCGAAATCTAAGATAGAATTTTAATTCGGATCTTTTTCTAGGCGCGAAATGATAAAAAACTAAAAAATTACAAATCAATACAGAATCTTCATTCTATCGATTTGTAATTTGCACTTTAACAATCACCTTTGATTTTCACAGCTATTTTTCTATCGAGAGGTTAAAGTTCGCGATCTAAATCTGAAGCGAAATCTCGCTCTAAATGAATTCTCTCGCTGGCCTTATCTCCGAAATCGATACGCTTGATGGAAGAACAGCGAATCTTCCAATTCGGTGGCGCGAATAAACTCTTTTCAGGAATAGTCGAGCGAGTCGCGAGCATTCGAAAGGCCATATGACGAGACGATTAATAACAATGAACGACTCTTAAAGGAGTAGGATTGTTCGTTAACCATCCGCTGTCGCCTGAATTATATAATAATATGATATAACACTCTACGTACGGCAATTAGAGATCATTGTCCAATTGCGCATATCTTTTTCGATTGTGAAATAAAGTTTGCGAGTTCGACGAGCTGTCCGGGGAACTCACTTCCGGAGTGACTCGTCTTTCGTTGTAAATAACAGTGGTGCACGCGACGAAGCGAATAACTACAGTTCAAAAAATTCCACGAGCGTTTCGTGCTTGACAGAAATTTCGTTGAAAAACACGGTAATCGAGTAATCTTGCGATGAAAAGCGTTAACTCATTTCGGCTACGTTTACAAATTATTGCTGCAGAAGAAACGAGATATTTTCATGACATTTTCACGATAGATTTATCCTCGAATTAACTGATATCAGCAATCGATGACTTATTGGCTTTTCCAATATTGATTTCCATCAAATCGAGATTCCGTCGCTATTCCATTAGAACTTGCAAATAATTGATTCGAGATAAATTTTTCAAATTCCACTCCGCGATGGAAGTCTTAAAAATAAATTTCGAAATCAGCGGAGGTGAAAATACTCTACCTTTTAATTTATTTACCGCTCACGATTTCGTGCGTGGCGCGACATATAAATTGAATAATGATCGCGCGATTAAACGGCCGTTCGCCACTCGAGAGTGTTTAAGGAAACTAGCAGCAATACCGAGTCTCGTGACTCATGAGACCGGCGACTCATTATCATCGCTAGATCCTCAATCGGTTTCACATATTCAATGCAATTTAACCCATTAATGCGGCGCAAGGAAATTAGAGTTTCGACCTCATCGTTTCCGTCATCGCGCGTCCATTCATCATGCGCGCACCGCACCAGCGCCTGCGTTTATTTGATAAAGATCGACGCCGATTAACGATGCAAATAAATCTGTTCGCAAATGTCAGCGCACAGATTCTCATGCATTTTATGCGCGATGAAAGACGCGTCCGCCGGCCGGCCGTCGTGAGATCGTTTTATTAGATTGATCTCGAGAGAATTAAGAGCCTTGACTTGTCCTTCCCTGTCTACAAACGCTTGATAAGATATCACACACATGCGAATCGAAGTGACCCAATTTTCATCCCGCAAAATCTATTTTTGCGCGTCGCCAAGTTTTTCGAATTGAATTTTACTGCATTTTAAATTTTTTTAATGTGCAATTTTGAAGAAGATTGCATCTGAAGATAATTACAAAATAAATAAAATACGTAAATAAAGCAAGACTGAAAAATTATGTATCGAATTATATTGCACGCTGCGTTTTCGTTTCTGTTTCACGCTGCAGTTAAATATAACGTTGCCGTGCAGAAACAGAATTACACGAGAATGTTAAACAACATGCAATATCGCATGGATTTGCGATAATTCGGATGAATGAACGCGGATTGCGATTAGCGAGTGGACGCAGCACGTAATTTTTTCATTCGAACAAAGCAAATGGAGATAAATCAAAACAATGGCGTCAGCGTATTTAAAAAGTTCATAATTTTACATTATTATTAATATATCGAACTCGCACATTCAAAAAGTACGCGATTTTTTAAATTGATTAAAATTGAGATTGCATTAATTTGTATTTGTCTCGGCGATCGAGATAAATGTAACAACTGCAAGTGATCGGGTGCAAGCCGTTTGACGCTATTGCGTCAAACGCAATCACCTTGTAAACTTATGAGAAATAGAAATAGGTTTTTACGCGGATCGAATTGCAGCACGTGTGTTCCCGCGTTAAACCACGGTTTTTCGGCTGCAACCGATAATACGCGTATTAGCACGTTGCGCAGTGTTATTGTGAGATTTGTTTACAAGCTCCGGTTGCTATTTTTGTGAACACAAGCGTAACTCGGAATTGGCAATATGACCACGCGATACATTAGTTTCGACGCATCAAAAGCGTCAGCAATATATACAATTTATATAACAAAGTGCAAAGTATGACAAAAAACGCGAAAAAATTATAATACGATAATAACAAATGTCGAAAACATAAACAATTTTTTATACCTATTTCGATTTAAGTTAAATTAACAATGTTAAATTATCTCAGTTAAACTTCGACTTAATTTCATGAAACGCAATTAATTCAAATGATCGGAAGATAAATTTCAGAATGTGTACCTTTGCAATTATCAGTTGCCCTCTCGATCGAATTAGCGAGAATATCCTTCTTCAATATTTCATGCAATCTTCAAACAGACTTGTTTCCATATTGACACGCGGTCATCGGCGAAGACAAATAGAGTTCGCGTGTCTCAAATCATCTTCCACGCAGTTCATCAACGACGCGAACTTATTTCTTGCCCGTCGACGATAATTGCGAGCCGGGTTGTAAATTAAAGGATCAGCCAAGAGAAGAATCACGACGACTCGGCGACAATTACAAGTTGGACCGCAATCGAGAGCAGAAGAGAAAACAGTACAGTGAAAATTTTGCGATGGGAAAACAACACCGCTTGTTCACGATCGAAACCGCGGATGTTCGCGAAGCTTTCCCGTTACAACTTCGTGCACGTGCAAAAAGCAAATCCGATCGCGTTGTATCAAAAAGCCCGCTGCCGCAGTCGTCGCTACCGCCGCGGCTTTTTTCGCGCTCGACACTGAGACGATTTTCGTCCGCGCCTTCGCATTTATAGCGGCGCGGCAAAGGTAGCCGGCTCTCTCAAAACGCTCGGCGCTGACGCGGAGCAAAGCTTTCAGAATTGTCCCCGAGGTCTTTCTTTCGCAAAATACGAGATATTCAGCTCTCGTACTTCCCGACTTCAACCTCAGATTTATTTCATTATGTAAATAATTAATTTACATTGATTCAATCGGAGTAAAATTAGATACTATCGCGAAAAATAGTATCATAGATCATAGAGCTGTCTGATGGACGTATTTGAAAATGAAAATTTGAATTGATTTTCGTTTATCTTCCGTTCATTTTTAATATAAGTATTAATATTTTGGTACTTTCATGAAATGTGCAAAAGTAAAAGATAGATATTCTTGAATTCAATTTCTTACTTTATTTACACTCAAAGTAGCAGAATTAGAATTCAATTTGGTGTCATAAATACTTAAATTACTTCAATTCAGAAATTTATATATTTTAATCCAAGATGTATAGAATTCAATCTTTCATACTACATAAAATAATGATGATAAATTAATAGATTAATAAATAATCAGAATTGTATAATTTAATTTTTGATTGCGATAAAGCATAAATCCTTCCTTCTATTGATGAGAAAAAAATGATATTGCAAAAAATAAACTAATTTGATTAGTCAAATGCATCGATTATTTTTAATGACATCGGGCTTTTTTTTCGTAAGAAAATGATAAGCATGATGAGCATTGTCGGATGTGCAACAGTGACTCAATGTGCAACGCAATCAGAGGGCTAAAATATTACTTAACAAAGTAAAATATACAATTTCATGTTGATGTTTGTGGTCTTGAGATTGCGATCTGCGCGAAACCCAGCATCCCGCGTCGCTCAAAATAGGATTTCCCAGCCGCAAGAATTATCTTCTTTCTGCACTGTCACTGTCTAGATCCTATTGTCGATGAGTGATAAGCTAATTCCGATTTGTCCTGGTAATAAATGAAACTCAATTCGTGCCTGCGCTTTAACACACTTTTCCCGGAAAATGCGCGATTGCGGTCGAGCGATGAGCACGGCTGATTTTAGCTCCTGGAGGCACGAATCCCGTGAAAAATATCGTAAAAGAATGCGAAAGGCGCAAGAAGGAGGAAGAATATAAAAAGAAAGGAACGATTAGAAGAATATCAAAAATTGAGAAATACAAATTAAAATAATTGGATAAATTTTGCCCGTCCAAGAAATAGATTACATCACGTTATATCGAATTCTCGAATTCGAAAAACTTAAGAGATGAAGAATTCATCGTGTAAAATCCATTTTTTATCAGCGTTCTCTGTCTCTCGTAATTAATTTACAACGACAGGGTTGCACGAGCGTGATTTACCGGTAAAAGGTGCCATTGTATTATCCATTCACGACAAAAGGTACGGCCTCCAAAGTGATTGTAAGCGCGCTTTTGCGGTAAAAAAGCGCGCCGGTTAATAACAATGCGCACATAAATATATTACTGGTCGCCGAGATCTCGCTCCTGTGCATCCCTGACCTGTGCCAATGCGAAAGGCGCGAAAGAAGAAAAGCGCGAGAGCGATCGCAAGTTCAGTTCCGGCCCGTTCGTCAATGGCCCATTTTTTTTCTCCCTTTTAGCTGCTAATAAAGATAGCGTTATCGCCATCAGAACGGTAAGGGTACAATGTCGCATCCTCGCGCCCGTTCAGCTAGTTTTCCTTCTGCATCACATAGACAAATATTAGTCACTTCTCTCTGTTTTTCTTTGCAGAGTTCCATACGTCGTGATAAGAACATTTGTAAAAACAACAAAGCCGGTGTGTTTTATAACGCTGATATCATCCCAAGTTCATCATTTGCGAAATGTGTAACGACGATCATCATATTATAGAAATGAAATAACGAAATCGCGAGGAGAAAAGCTAACAGTAGCTTGCAATCAGGCAGCAATATTGCATTCTAGTTTTCTTAAATGTGATCAATGCACTCGTTCGTTTTGTAAAATTAATATTAAGATAAGATTTTAATTTTAATTTTTAACAAACAAGTGAAAATTATTCAATCTACATTATATGAATAAATAAATGAGAAAGATGTATCAAAGAACATGAAAAATAGATACAAATGCAAGAAAGAGAGGACGTTTAATTCTTCCATGCTAAATGAATTATTTATTGGCTTAACATAATATTGTCCTTATCAGCGTCTCACGAGAGAACTCGGAGTTATATATTAGAGCGCCGCCGGCGGTTGATGACGAGATCCTTTTTTTTTTCCAAGCTCTCGTTATCCCTCCGCGATTACGATCGTGTTTCTACCGGCGCGAGTTTAAACACGGCAGCATTTATGTATCCATTCGCGGCGGGAGGCATGGCCTCCTTAGCGATTGCAAAGTTCTACGCTCGCAATAAAAAGTCAACGTTAATGACAATAGGAGCAGCCGCGATTATCGGCGCGCGGTGGCACACGTCCCTGACCCGCGACAATGCCTGCGAAAACGTCATCTTTGCACTTTAATTCCGCGTCCCGTAGCGAAAGCTCGAGATACTATCATGTTAATAAGATTATTCATTGTCGAATTAACTGTGAGGGATATACCTTTGTCTTCAAATCGATCTGAAAAACCTCAAAAGAAATTTTCAAGTTTCAGAGATAGGAATGTCATTATGAATTTAATTTAACAAGTAATTAATATTAATTAATTGAATATGGATTGTGCAATGCACAATTATTTACATACATCACTATTGTTGAAAGTGATGCTCTTGCGCTAAGAAACGCGAACAGCTCGCAGCTGACTGTGTACCTCGATCTAATTCAACGTCAATCTAATTTAAGCGCATCAAGAGATTTACTTGCTTAATTGGCGCTTCTTTTTGCGCGGGTTTCCTTGATGCGCCTTTACGGCTCGAGTCCCTTTCGACCACCGGCGGGGATTGTCGAGGCCTTCGAAATCAATTTCCGATCCAAGGCGATCTCTCGGCTGACCTGAAAATCCTTCTCACGTGCCTTCGGGAGTTTAGACCTGGAAATAGGCAAGACGGAAATCGTAAATACATCTGCGTATCCGTCGCACTTTTGTCCTACTGCTTATCGCACTAAACTATTTCACTTGTCAATTTTGCATATGTTAGCTACATTTATCACGGTATATGCATGATATACTACCATCATTATTGCTCCGAGAGATAAAATTCATTGCCATATATAATCGTTGAAATATATAATCGACCAATGTGCGCAAAAAAAGAGAAAGAAAGAAGAAACAAGTCAAACAGCACGACGGCACGCGCGGGTAGAAATAATACAGTAGAAGTAATCTATAATTTTCTTAGTTCATAATTGAATAATAAAGTTCTAATTTTTGCCTTTAAATTTGTTCTCAAAATCACCTAAATATGGAACAGTGAAAAAAGAAAAATTACGCGCTTGGCCTCGCGGCGTAGATTTCTTTCTTTTGTGTATCCCATTGTCACTTGTTCTACCAACAATAAAATTCGCGATCTGCCACGCGACCCACATTTATTCCAGCCAATCACATTGGGATATCGAAAAAGAACAGAAACATTCGAAACGATTCCGACTTGCCCGAGGACAGAGACGTAATCGTAATTTCTTAGCGCGAGGAAGTATCGAAAACTTAACTATGAAATAAAAATCCATCCAGAATTGATAATAAATGTTGGTAATATGTCTACGTAATATTGAAAATATCGATGATTATTTAAAAGAAAAATATAAGCGCTTCTTAATATCGTAAAATTATTGTTCGCATTTACGTCAATACAATACGTTTATTGACATTTATTTTATGCACATTATTAACAACTGTTTCAACTATCAATTTTGCATAACAACTATCGTGGTACATGCGCACAACACTTGCGCCATCGTTAACGCTTCAAGGTATAAAATAAATTCATTGTCATGAAATATATAATCGTTTCGACGAATGTTCAAGTACGCTTAGAAAAACAAAAGAGGAAACAAGTCAAAGAACACGGTGGCACGTGCGTGGAAATAATAATCTATACTTTTGTCACTGATGATCATCTTTTCGCATTAATTTCAAAATTTCGCATCTGTCAGTTACGATTTATAAATTGCGTAAAACAAAAATAATTTGCAGTTGGATCATTTTTGTATCGATATCTGATAGCAGTTATAATTTATGGGTATCATTATTAGCTCATATATCGCAGATCGATCCGCGAAATTATTTTCACCCATTTCTTGTTCGCAACGCGATTAAGGATTCAATTTTCATACGCTAGTTATGAATAATGAAATGTTTTGTGTCATCGCGCGCGGATATAAATCAATATTTCATGACAAATATCAAATATGCAATGGTATCGTTATATATTGCACAGTATCATGATTTAAAGCATATATAAAATACAAAACATATTTCAGATTTGCCAAAAAATAAATACGTAAAAAAGGTGGAAAAAAAATTTCTCGCAAATTTTAAATTGCTTTTTTAAATTAATATGTTCGGATAAGATTAGCGTTTTCGCAATTTAAAAATTTTTTGTTCTCGCAATTTTCGACACAAACTAATCCTGAATAAAATTCTTATGTATCGCGGTCGAGAAAGATTGTTATAGAAAGGATTCGAGTCAATGTTCGAAGGTCTCGGCTCATTGATCTCGGCGATGATGCGAGCGAAAGTTCGGATCAGGAAGCATGTCCAAGGACCCGTTTAATTCAGGAAGCGACTATCTCCATGACAAATGACTTTTATGCAAATCGCGGCGGCCGCAACCCTCGCGGCCACTTCCGTTTCCGATTCCGACGACCTTTTGTCATCGGCGCTTCGGATATTTCCAGATCATTGAAAAAAGATGCACGTGCTATTTGCGCAGAATCGTATTTCGAGAATCTCGATTTCGAATCACGATACGAGTCGCGGCATGCAAGATTACGCGGTTCTCAGTGCTGTTCACCAGACAACCAAGTTTTTCTTCTTAATCTTCTTATTTTATATATGCATTTTCTAATACGAAATAAACACGTCGTCTTGTCTAATATTTTATAATTTTTTTATAACCGCTATTGCTATTCAATTTTAAACACGCGTAAGAAAATTAATTTTCGACACAATTACGCTGTGTGTAATGTAAATT